AAAGCAAATGTGCTTTTACAAACAGCCATTTCATGGTCCAACATTTTTTGTTCTTTTCAAGTTGGTGTAGCTGGCTGGGGATGCATCATGGTTGATATTAAATCCTAGGTTGGATCCTAACATCATATAAACTGCGGTATTGTATACCTGCTATCCAAGTGCTAAAAAGGAAAAGCAGGAGGATCAGAACACAGAAGTTCTCCTCTATACACTGAGCTGTGTGAGACCCTATATTTTAAAAAAAAAATGCATAGGAAAGCATTTGGAATGGCTGAAGATAATTAACTATATGATAAAAGCTGCCATGGTGGACTAAAAGACGTTTATTTTTTAATTTTTAGTGTGTTCTAATTTTTCTGTTGAAAATAACTTCAAAACACTGAAAAAAAAATGTCTTCAAAGTAGTTGGTTCTCTGTGTCTCTCGGGTAGCTGTGCTGTGATCACTTGTTCATTTGCCCTTAAGACAGAGCTCAGGAAGAAGGACCGTATCTGTCCTGTCATCCCTGTCTGCATCTTCCACCACAGGACTAGACACCAGAGGAAGCACTTGGTCTTGGCACTCTTCTTCAGCATGAGGAAACCCCAGGCTTGTGTTTCCTGTTTAGTGACCCAAGAAAAAGACAGGAGTCTGTATTCTCAGGCTAACTCAGGTCTGTCACTGACTGGACGACTGTGGCTGAGAACATGAATTGTGCTAGTTGGCTAGGTTGATTAACAGGGCCTTTAGATGGTTTTGAAAAGAGAAGTCAGGGTCCAGCCATCCAGAGGAGGGGAGTTGATGACAAGCAGGTCAAACTCAGCACCAGAGGCTGCCCCTGAGGTCAGCAATTTTAATCTCCAGTTCTTCCCACCCGAGTAAGTTTCCTGATGTTGGTCCCTAGCACTCGGCATGGAGCCTGGAACATAGGAGAAACCCATTTAGATAAGCGAACAAACTCGAGTGTCGGTAAATGAGACGAAGTCCTTTATCTAGGGATTTGAGTCGGGATGCTTTGCACTGCAAGGGACAGAAATGGTGCTCAACACAAAAGCATGTTTGTTGGTTCAGGGCTAGTGGAGCCTGGGAGTCACACACAATTTGATCAGCATTCTGCCAGTATCCTGTCAGCTTTCATGGTACCACAAAAGTTCCAAGCATTTTCTACACCTCACACCATCAAAAAATGAAAGAGAGTAGATCAGAATTCCCAGAAAAGTCAATAAGGACTGGATAAGGTGACACATCTCTACCTCTGAGCCAGCCTTTGGTTTTGTCTAGATTTTTTTGTTTTTGTTTGTTTGGTTTTTTGAGACAGGGTTTCTCTGTGTAGCCTTGGCTGTCCAGGCTGGCCTCTACCTCACAGAGATCTGCCTGCCTCTGCCTCCCTGAGCGCTGGGACTATAGGCGTGCGCCACCACAACTGGCTTATTTTTGCCTAATCTTATGCCTCATCCTTAGACCTGGGGGATAGGAAAGAGAGCCAGCTTCTCTCTGTGGAGCCCTGAAAGGAACCACGGATCTGAGGAAGGGAGAAAGCAGCCTGTGGCCTGGGAAAGTGACCAGCAGGAATCTGGCCCAGTTGAAAACAGAACTGCATGGTGACCTGGGCTGCAGGATGGAGCACAGTGATGACGCTAGCAGCAGTCAGAGGGAAGCTTCAAGGAGAGACTGCTAGAAACTCTTGAGGAGGTGTGGGCAGCAGAGTTAGAGGGGTGGAGAGCAGGGGCGAGCACCTCTCCAGGCGGTGCCAGCAGCACCCAGAACCATCTGTGAACCACCACAGTTGGTGCTCACACCATCATCACACTCTACATAAACAACCCAGAAGATGCTTGAAAGCTGAACTTGGGCCTTGCATCAAGCCAGGATGTGGCGAGGGAGGTAGGCCATGGTCGTGTGTGTGCCCCAGAGAAGTGTCTCAGACCCGAGAGGTGGTGAACAAAGGATATTAAATGGTTTAGTTCTCTCCATAAGACAAGCATCACTTATTCCCATCTCACAGACAGTGGAGGCAGACACAAGTAACTGACAGAGCTAGTGAGTGCTGGTACCTGACTTTCCGCCCTGGCCGTCCCCCACTTAGCCTGCCCACTGCGCTGTGTGAGCTGTCAACATCACAGCATTTGCAGAGTGCACCTTCCATCCTGGGCTCTTTCATGTGCACTCGAGACTGCTGCCTCAAGCTTAATCAGATTCTAATCAAGTTATTCAGAAGAACTCTGCTTGGGAGTCCAGACCCAGAGCCCTTCATCCAGAAAGGCGGCTCCAGGTCCTGTGTTTAAGCATCCCCTCGGGGAAGTGGCCTGGCCGCTTCCCCAAAATGCTGACAGCACAACCTTTGGCAGGGGCAGGCAGAGCCCCATGCTGCTGTTGGCTAAACGCCCAGCCAGAGGGACTGAGCCAGCATGGAGTGAGCAGCTGCAGGGCCCGGGCCCCTGGGGCCTCCGGGCACCCTTGTTTAATCCCTGGATACTGTTCACTGCTGTCAGAGCCAAAGCCATGGATCAAGTGTCAGGACCATTCGGTCCTAGGCATGGCTTGGTAACTGACATGCTGTAGGATCTGGGGTAATTTGTGTATCCTTCAGTGGGCCTTAGTTGCCCATCATCGGCTGGCCATGTAAGGTTCCACAGAATAGCTGCCCCTCTTAGAAACCCAGACTCTCGTCTGTTTAGAATCTCTGCTGGTGCCTGGTGCTCCTGGGCAGCAGAGCACAGAGGGAAGCCCAGCTGATCCTGCCTCCAAGCAGTTCCAAGTCCATTGTAGGTTAGAGGAGCAATCAGCCCAGGATGGGAAGTTTGGTACTGCGAGGAGGATGTCCTAGGCTGCAAGACTTAGGGAGGGAGCAACCGACTCCCTGTAGCAGCCTGGAAGATGTCCAAGCTGAGGAACACATTGTTGACTGCATGTTGCCCTTTCCAGAAGGGATGTCTGTGCATTGTTGTTAAAGGAACAGCTTTTGCAAAGGCCTGAGGAACAGAAGACCAAGTCTTCAGGAAAGGGTGGGAGCCACACACCTGATAGTGAGAAGGCTGTTTACATGAGGAAACAAGGCTCAGGGGCCAGGTGGAAGGCAGCAGGGTGAGTGGAGCCATAGTTGAAGCCTCCAGGGCTAGAAAGACCAGGAAACAGAGCTTGAGTCCCAGCTGGGCCCACACACATCTTCCTCCGCTGGAGCTCTGCCACCTTGCTCAGGGCCCTCCATCTCTAATCTCACATGAAGCTCTCCACAGAGCATCCTGCTCATGATAGCACCTCACTTATCATCCTCTGGGCTTCCCCAGGCGCTTAGGAAGGCAGCGGAGATAAAGAGCCCATCGGGTGGAGCAGAAACTGAGTGTGTGTTGGCCTCTGGAAAGCAAGCAGTCATGAGTGCCACTGAGTCTGGCCAGAAGACGGAGGCTAACACATGACCATGGCAGGAATTTTATTTTTGATTGTAGACCAATAGAAGCAGCCAGAGAACTTTATAACAGAGAGGTTTACGGACTTCCCTGGACAGGCAGGAGAGGTGTCCCTAAATGACGCTGCAGTTTGAGGGTGTGGGGCTCTAGCTTATTGAACTGGAGTGTTCTCAAGTACAAGATACGGTGTCTGAGGTCATCCAGGCTGCAAGGGGGAGCTGGGGCCACCACTCTGGTCTTTCCTGCTTTCACCTCAGGCCTGTTGCCTCCCAGTGCCCTACCATGCGGATTCTCCCTTCATTCAAATTTATAATTCAAGAATTTTCCCCTTTGGTCTTACACTCCCTCTTTCCAGACCAAGAGAAACCTGGCAAGTGTGAGTGATGTGTCATGGACACAGTCAGGACCAAGACAAGAACCCATGTCTCATAGCTGCTGAGGTCATGGAAGAGAATCACTTGTCCCAGTTTGGCCTGGGCCATGACACAGACCCAAGGAGCTTTCCTGGAAAAGAGTCTTCTCAGGGAGATAGGAAAGTTCCAGAAATAGGCTTTACCCAGGGACCATGTTGTTCTGAGCCTGAGAGCACCCCAGTGCGTCATGCTGCTGTGTTCTCTGTCTTTCTGTAGCCCAGGACACACCCTCAGTCTGTGACTCTTCTAGTCCTGACTGAAACAGTGCGAGCCCCGAACTGCACAGGACCTGCCTCTCCTTTGATCACTCTGGGGGAAGGTGGCTGCCATCATCAGAGGGCCCTGAAGCTGTGGGCAAGTTCAAGTCCTTTCCCCTGGACATTCACAGCCTGGAGTGGCAGGCGCTGTGCTTGTGCCCTGCTGGTTTTAGTCACACTTAGGGACCCTTTAGATCCCAGTAGGAAGGGGTCTAGACGTTTGGGAAGAAGGACCTGATGAGGGTCTGACAAGAGAGACTTCAGACCCAAGGTGGGAGGTTCCAACAATACCATCACACGTCAGCAGGACAGTCGAATTAAAGGCCTCGAGCGTCTCTGGGGACACACATTCGCTGTGTCCACACAGGGTCCTCGGCCGCTTTCATTCCCAGAGCAGTCCTACGGGCTCCCCCCTGCCCCGTACTGACCCCACAGCTGCCTTTGTGAAGCAACAGTGATTGACATGAGAGCTACCCAAAGCCACCCTGAGAGGGGCACCTCTGAACCGTATCTCTCTCCCTGTGCCCGCCCAAGACCTGACCGTTTCCTGCGCCTTCAGTCTGCCCTTACAGCCTGTTCCAAGTCAGAGGTCCCAACCTGGGCCAGCTGCCTCTGGGCCAGCCGAGCACGCTCCCAGAGTTCCCTACTGCAGTCTGGCTCTCTCAAAGAGACGCGTCCAGGGAGGTGGGGTGAACCGGGGGCTTCTTTTCCTGCCTCTGCTTCCTTCGCGTGGCTGAACCTGAAACCGTGCCTCCCAGAGCGCTTCTTTAAAAATTTTGAGCCTTCCCGAGACGTGAGCCTCTCTGAGACGTGGGCCTTTCTGAGACGTAGGCCTTTCTGAGACGTGGTGGTGCGTGCCACGGGGCCGCGTTCAGTCTGCTCCGGTCCTGACTCACCGCTGTTCGCTCCCGCCGAGGAACAAGTCGGTCAGGAGGCGCAGCGGCCATGGCTTTTAAAGAGAGCGGGAAGACGCAGCCCCTAGAACCCGAGGTGGGCTTTCACCGGATTCGAATCACGCTCACCAGCCGCAACGTGAAGTCGCTGGAGAAGGTGTGCGCAGACCTGATCCGAGGCGCCAAGGAAAAGAATCTCAAGGTGAAAGGGCCGGTGCGCATGCCCACCAAGACACTGAGAATCACGACGAGGAAAACACCCTGTAGTGAAGGTTCCAAGACGTGGGATCACTTCCAGATGAGAATCCACAAGCGACTCATTGACTTACGCAGTCCTTTGGATATCGTCAAGCAGATCACTTCCATCAGTGCTGAGCCAGGAGTGGAGGTCGAAGTCACCATTGCAGATGCCTGAGTCAGCTATGTTAATAAATTGACTTAACCCGTTAAAAAAAAACTTTTTTTGAGATTTTTTTTTTTTTTTTAATTTTCTGGATGTATGCCCGCGCAGAATGTGCAGTGCCCGTAGGAGCCAAGAGAGGGAGTCAGATTTCCTTAGAACTAGAATTATGGGTGGTTTTGATCACCGTATGGGGGCTAGGAATCAAACCTGTGTCCTCTGGAAGAAGAGTTGGTGCTCTTAACCACTGAGCCATCTTTCCAATCCTGAAAGTGCTTCTTTTTTTTTTTTTTTTAGAGGTTGTTCTCTTGTTCTCTCTCTCTCTCTCTCTCTCTCTCTCTCTCTCTCTCTCTCCTTTCTCTCTGTATAACAAGCCCTGGCAGTGCTGGACTCACTTTGTAGACCAGGCTGGCCTTAAACTCACAGAGGTCCACCTGCCTTTGCCTCCTAAGTGCTGGAATTAAAGGAGTGTACCACCATTCTTGGCTTAAAGATTGATTTATTTATTAATTACACTTTATTCACTTTGAATCCCCCAATAAACCCCTCCCTCCTCCCCTCCTAATCCCTCTTATTTTTTATTTTTAATAGTGTGTACGTGTGTATGTGTGCCTGTGAGCGTGTCTACATGACTTCAGGTACCTGGGACCTCAGATCACCCTGGATCTAAAGTTACAGGTGGTTGTGAGTCTTCTGAACCCAAGTCCTCTGCAAAACTGGTACACATTCTTAAACACCAACTCTCCAGCCCCTAAGTGCTTCTTAAGCTGAGAGCGGGGGACGGGGGGGGGGTTCCCGGGGGGGTTTCCCCACCAGCACAAGGAAAGAAGCCACCGCTCAACCGGTATGTACAAGCAGGGGTGATTTGGTGATTTGGAGCGAGGACTTTGAAGGGCTCACAGGTTTGCGGGAGGTAAGCACACAGTCCCACAAGTTAACTGTAGGATGAATAATGCAACAGCCAACAGATGCACCGGGCATTTTGAGGGCCAGACATATCCTCAGGGAATTGGGAAAAGTCCTAGGAGGAGCACGGGACCGAGACTGGCCCTGAGGGAGGCAGAGAGCTCACCAACCAGCCAGAAGGGAATAGAGCGTTTCAAGATAGGAAACTAAAAGACAAAACAAGCATATGCCACTACATCCCACCCTTAAATGTTTGTTTTTGAGACACGGGCTCACTTGCTGGCTTAGAACTCACTATGTTGATCAGGCTGGTCTCAAACGCAAAGAAATTCTCCTGCCTCTGCCTACTGCAGTCCTGGCATTAAATGCATATGCCACCATACCCGGCCACATTCAGCTTTAAAATTTTATAGTTATGTTTTATTTATTTTGTGGAGAAGGGTCCTAGATAAGCCACAGGATTTGTGTGGAGGCAGAAGACAGTTTATAGGAGTTGGTTCTTCTGCCATGTGGGTCTCAGGGACTGGTCTCGGGTTAAGTTTAGTGTCAAGGGCCTTTATTCATGAAGCCATCTCTCTGGCTCAGGAACAGTGTATACAGAGAGAACAGCATCTGGCAGGACATCCGGTCATGATGGGAAAGTGGGTCATGGCAAAGCTGACCAAGGCAGGGCAGAGAAGAACCACAAAATGCTTGCAAAAATGATTTGGGTGCAGGCAAGATGGCTCAGCAGGTTAAGGTGCCTTCAGACGGGCCAGATGGCCTGAGTTCTCCCTCCAGGACACACATGTTGGAAGGAACAAGATGACTTCTGGGAGTTGTTCCCTGACTTCTGCATCTGCGCATGTGCACAATAAATAAATACAAATCTAATTAAGAATATTTTTGAAAGATTTGGGATTTAGTAAATATTTGAAATTTTTAAACAGAAAATTGGCACTTCTACCAGTAATTATTTTCATTATTTACACCTTAGAGGCTAGGGTGTAGCCCAGTCAGACAGCATTTGCCTGGTACCCACAAGGCTCTGAGTTCAATCCTCAGCACCATGAAAACCAAATCAAAACAGGCTCAGATGAGCAAGCAAAATGTCCAGAGCCTCCATATCTGTCAGGGAAACACAGCCAGTAGCATCTATCTGTGATCACGCGATATGGAGGACAGCAAATCATAAGGCCTGTAGGGTAAGTGGGGAAGGTAGAGAGTCCCAAGAAAGCCAATGGTCCAGGTGGAGTCTGCAGTATCTGGGCGCCTGGTGGTTGACACCATATAGCTGCCAGGTGGCTGAAACAAACCCTCACAGCCTACATCTGCAGAGCAGCGGACCTGCAAGTTAAACCCAGCTCTGCTGCAGCACGGGGCAGGGGTCCAAGGCTCTCCTTTCCCATCCTGGACTCCAGAGCTGAGCCAGCTAGAGAGATGCGGCCAACTACCAGCCACGGTGGGCTATGGGCCAGTCAGATAACTCAGACGGCTCAGGCAAGGAGGTGCCCGCAGCCTTTCTGCTTTAGGCAAGACTCCAAAGAGCCTTTGCACCCTCATGGGAGGAGAGGTGAGAACAAGGAGACAGGGCTCCATGTCCCAGCGGCCCTTGGCATGAATGAGTGGGACTCCCTCATTGGTTGGCACCTTCCGTGCCTCTGTCTTCTTTGCCCACTGCTTCCTGACCTCGAAGGCCATGGTTTTTAAGACTCTTGGAACTGCAAAAGCCTCTGTCTAACTGTGCCTTTTCTAACTCCACCATGACACAGGAGGCAAACAGAGGCTCAGAGAGGGAGAGGGCCTACCCACAGCCACTCACCTGCTCCAGTTCTTCAGGCTCACTAAAGGGCTTACTATGAAAGACCTACTCACGAACACATACAGGAGTGACAAGGCAAGTTGTCCTAGTTGGCTTTCTGGTGCTGTGATGAAACACTGACCAGAAGCAACTTAGGGGAGGAAGGAGTTTACAGGTTACAGCCCACCATCCAGGGAACCTGGAGACAGGAACTGAAGTAGAAGCCATGGAAGAATGCTGTTTACTGGCCTGCTTTCTTATACAACCCAGCCCAGGAATGGCACTGGGTACTCTTACTTCAATCACTAATCAAGAAAATGCTCACCAATTTGTTCACAGGTCAATCTGATTGAGGCATTTCAATTAAGATTCCTTCTTTCCATGTCACTGTGTAATTTGTCTCAAGCTGACAAAACAACAACAAAACCTCGATAGTTGACCCCCTTGCCCACTTCACATAATAATCTTCACTTTCTTCTTTGTCCCCAGGATGTCATGGTAATGTCACAACATAAAACACATTATAACTATAAAAGCCCCACAGTACTTAGACATTTCAACACCTGGAAAGTTCAGTGTCACTTTGGAAGTCAAAATGTGTGTGTGTGTGTGTGTGTGTGTGTGTGTGTGTCTGTCTGTCTGTCTGTCTGTCTGTTTATCTAGCTCTTGAGACAGGGTTTTATCTCATTATATAACCCTGGTTCTCACTGTGTAGACCAGGCTGATCTCAAACTCACAGAGATCTGCCTGCCTCTGCTTCCTGAGGTCTAGGAACTAAAGTTGTGCACCACCACACCTGGCTAAATCAGTCTCTTAATTGTGAGCTCCTATAAAATCCAAAATAAGTCACGTACTTTCTTATTTCCAAAGGGAAGAACCAGGGCACAGTTATAATCATATCAAAGCAAAACTCAGACTCAATGCTACAGAAAGCTCAGTGTCTGATGTCCTGGACTCACTCAGAATCTTCTGGGTCTCCCCTGCAGCAGAAGCTGTACCTTCATCAATAGCCTCTGCTGGACACAGGGCCAAGTCTTAGCTGTTCTTTATGACCCCTTCTCTCCTACGGCTTCCATGCTGCCAAAACCAGTACCACGTTGGAGATTTTTACTCATTATCAAGTTTGGTTACCAGCATGAGACACAGCCTCGGGCCCCTCTAGACCACAGCTTCTGGGTGCAGACGCTGGGTAAATACTTCCTAGATTTTTGCCTCAGCAATGCTGGTCTTTTGTTAAGCACGGCTGTTTCTTCGGCCTGAGCTGACCTGCCTTGGTTGCTCCAGCAAAGCTAAGGTTTCACTTCAGTGGCGCTGGTCTCCTGTTAATCATAGCTTTTTTTTTCACCCTCAGCTGACCAGAAACCACAAATTCTTAATTCAAAACATCACATGAATAAATGATAAGAGTTTTTAAGGGAATCTGAGTGGTGGTACTCACCTTAAATCCCAACACTCCAGAGATAGAGGCAGGCAGATCTCTGAGTTTGAGGCCAGCCTGGTCTATGAGATACTTCCAGGTCAGCCAGGGCTACAAGAGAAACCCTATCTCAAGAAAGAGAGAGAGAGAAAGAGAGAAAGATGCTCCACAGACTTGTCTATGGGACAATATGATTTAGGCATTTTCTCAATTAAGGTTCCTCTTCCCCACCAGCCTGAGACCCCTAAGGACACAGATAGCCACTGTGTGTCACCAGATTCAGCACAACGCTGAGTGTAGAGAAGCTATTCAACAATGTCCCAATGTGTTTCTTACAGTTAGGGGCATATGTGAGGGACACAAAGGATGGCTTCTGGGAGAACAGAATCTTCCTGACTTGGGGTTGTGTACATGTGGGTAGAGAGAAGTTGGCTGAGGACACTATACTCCGAGTTGCTGACTCTGGCTCCTGGGTACATGGGCGCAGCCTCTAGTTTGGATAAGAGCAGAAGAAGGACACATCAGACTGGAAGGCAAGTGCAGTTAGGAGCCTGAACTCACCAATAAAAGTGTGAAGACAAGAGCTGGAGAGTTTGAGGAAGGTTCTTGGCGGCCTTAGCTGGAGGAACTGAGCGCATGTGGCAAAGAATTTTGAATGGAAGCTGGAGTTGGGTTTTGATCCTTTGGGACAGTGGGGAACCATGGGACTTGAATCTAAAGGTTTCTTCCAATATCATCCCAGGGGCCGTATATCCCTAATTTCTCGATGTCTGAGAAAACATACCCAAACACACATTAGTGTCCACTTTATTCACCCCCCCCACCCCAAAACAGGGTTTCTCTGTTGTAGGCTTGGTTGTCCTGGCCTCACTTTGTAGAGCAGGCTGACCTCGAACTCACAGACATCCCTCT